GTAGATACATGTAGAATAGATGGAGGAGGACAGAGGGTGAGGGAATAAGATGTTTATAGATATAGTAGATACATGTAGAATAGATGGAGGAGGACAGAGGGTGAGAGAATAAGATGTTTATAGATATAGTAGATAGAATAAAAAATCATGAGTGCAGAGAGTTATAGTATGTTAGATAGACTACACAATATGTGTTTTAAAAAGATAACTAAGTTAAGTTGCAGCCATATTTCACTGTAGTTAGAAATGCATTAAGGTACAGTACATAGAAACACAACAGGATAACACAGTTAAAATGTAAGTCAGAGGCTTATTTCTGCCCATAGTTAGAAATACAGTATGGTACAGTACAAAAAATATGACAGTTACAATGTAAGTCAGAGCCTTACTTCTCCCCATAGTTAGAAACACAGTAAGGTACAGTACAAAGAAACACAATAACATCATTTACCAGGATAACACAGTTACATTAATGTAAGTCAGAGGCTTACTTCTCCCCATAGTTAGAAACACAGTAAGGTACAGTACAAAGAAACACAATAACATCATTTACCAGGATAACACAGTTACATTAATGTAAGTCAGAGCTTTACTTCGCCCCATAGTTAGAAACACAGTAAGGTACAGTACAAAGGAACACAATAACATCATTTACCAGGATAACACAGTTACATTAATGTAAGTCTGAGCCTTACTTCTCCCCATAGTAAGAAACACAGTACGGAACAGTACAAAGAAACACATAACATCATTTACCAGCATAACACAGTTACATTAATGTAAGTCAGAGCCTTACTTCTCCCCATAGTAAGAAACACAGTACGGTACAGTACAAAGAAACACATAACATCATTTACCAGGATAACACAGTTAAGTCAAAGCCTTTTTTCACCGTAGTTAGAAGTGCTATAATGCGCAGCTTGTAGACAACACAATACATGTTTTACCAGGATAACTCAGTAAAGAGGGGCCGCATTGGCTGAGTGGTTAAGGCGTCTGACTGCTACAATCACTAACCCTCCACGGGGGAACCACCACTGGGTCGCGGGTTCGAGGCCTACGTGGGACAGTACGTATATTGTTACTGGCCTCAGGTCGTTGGTACTTTAACTTTCCTCCACCACCTAAACATTGCATGTCCTTAGATGAACGTAGCTGTTAATAGGACGGTAAACATAATGACAAACACAGTATGGTCACAGACTTGTTTCCACTGCAGTCCTTAGTCTTTAATAGGTTGATATTCTGCAGGATATCATCAAAATGATTCAAATCCTTGATTTAAACAGATTGACAAAGATATTTTAAAAATTCACTTTCTGACAGGAGATAATATTTTCTTTCCTTCTTCCTTTTAAAATGAGATACAAATGTCATGGATTTGTTCCATTTTTTTATTTCAGAAGGAGAACTGAGTTTGTTTGTAGGGTGCTACATGTGTATTACATGTACAAACAGGCAAAGGTAATTATGTCTGTTATTTATTATGTTAATATTACCTTTTTAGTACATCATATTGTTAAACAACATTCTCTCAACCGACGTCAGTAATATTTCTCCCACCTTTCACTGAAATGGTTTTATTGGAACAAGATTTCCCTGTCAACCATTGTGATAAAATGTGATACATTGAATTTTTGATATACAATGTAACATGAAAAAGAAATTTATTGGGGGAATAGCCAAAATTGAATTATCTAACTAAATTGATGTGACCTAATTATGCTGATTGAAGGTTGGATCAAAAGAGGGAGTACGGGGTCCTGAAGCTCACTGCTATCCACTGCCACAAATATCTGCTTTTGGTTATCATGATATTTATAATGATGAAGTTATAGTATGTTATGGTGTTTAGATTGTGTATAACCATATAAGTGACTGTGAGCGTAATGTCATGTCCTTAATATCACCTAATAGAGGACCAGTGTTCAGGATGACAATGATTACCTGGAGATGAAGAAGGCAGTGACAGCAGTACAACAGCTAGACTCCCATTGTCTTCCGGTGATGCTGCTACTGGGCACTGCCAGTCTGACAGTCAACCCCAGGTATGAGCGCATGACTACAGTTAATAGTCCAATGTCTCGGTGTCTTCATTTGCCAGCTCTAGGTCTTTATAATTATAGCTGTAATCTAAAGGTCTCCATGAATGCAGTTGCCACCATAGGTGTACATGGAAGCATTTGTATCTCACATACAGTTGTGGGACCGCACAACGCACCAAAAATAGCGTGCGCACACCGTGCATACATCGTTCACACACTGTCCGCACATCGCCCACACATGTTGCGCACAACTTTTCGATTTAGCAATCGCTCGCCCAGTTGTGCGCTTCTTTCCGCATAACTGTGCGATTTGGTATCATTTGTAGATTAAAATTACGGAATGACATAAATACGGAAGGCTTGTATGCGATAATTTATACTGTGTATATATCTGTAATTTCTCATCACAATAATCAAGATTATACAATTTCACAATGCGTGTTACACAGTATTAGAGCAACCGTTAGGCTGTCTAGAACGGGTATGGCTCCAAGGTAACAGAACAGGTAAATAACAATTTGATGAGTGTCCAGAGTTTTACCTGACCAGTGCCTGACACACAGAGCTGATATGCGATACCGTTTGACCGTAATGAAAGTATCTGTTATTTGCATTCGTTTGCCTATAGCTCCCCTTCACCTGGATTTTCACACACACACACACACACACACACACACCCACCCCCACCCCCCCGGCCTTACCCGACGAGTTGCGTAAGTGCCCCAGGCGGGAAGAAAACTACGGCTCAGGTACATGTACAAAGTGGTTATGTTTACGGGATTGTGTTGTAATTTTACATGTGTCGATTAAGTTTGTTTAAAAACACAGAAAAAACAATTTCTAAATATACGAATGTATAGACAGAAAGATAAGTTTATAGATGTTGCTAAAATATAGAAACATACGTAGACATCAAGTTTATATGTTTAAACACGAAACCGTATAAATTGTTAAGGCATTCCTCAATTTACACCAACCATGATTGTTATCACACAACGTCCGTCCATCGTGCGCACAGATGTGCGCAAGCAATGATCATCCAGCTTTTTATCGTTCGCCCATCATGCACACACCGTGCACACATCGTGCGCACACCGCACGTCGTGTAACGTTGTGCGATCCCACAACTGTATCTCAGTTGAAAGCCCTTTGGAGGAAGGTTTCCATCTCAATAATTAATGTAGCTCAGTTCTCTATACTTCTTTTGTTATACCCCACCTATCCTCCACAAACAAAGTTTGGGGAATGTCCATGAATCTTGTAAGCGCAACTCTTGAACCATTTGTTGATTTTTTTTTTGTAACTTGACACGGTCAAAGTACATAATTATGTAGATGAGCATTAAGAAAGTAATTTGTGACCCTTCATAGCACATCCCTTTACTCATATACTGCCATCTGGCCCTGCATGACTGATTGAACATAATTATGGAACATATGAAATAAAGTCAAATCAATTGAAGAGACAAGGCAATGAAATATTTTTAATTTTCAGACTGACCAAGCACTGTGTTGTTAAAGTAAGCGAGGGAGGTCGTCTACAAATTGACAAGGGTGATGAAGTCTCCATAGCAAGATGCCTCCTCATCAAACTCATATACAACCCAAACAAAGAGTCAGAACCACTCCAGGTATGTAGCAAATTTGACTACCAAAGTCATCATTTGAGTTAGAAACTACCAAGATATGTACACTGAAAATCATTTTTCTATTCAGAAACTACTGAAATTCTATAAAGAAATCTTTGTATATTTAAATATTTAGAAACCTGTAATTGTAAATTGCTAAATCAGTGTGTGTGTATTATTGAGAAAGTCTTTAGTTTATATAAATCTTTAAACTTTTCTGTGTATTTATGGAAAGCACTTTTACTATGAAAACTTTACAGAAAAACTGGTGTGCATTATGGAAAATGAATGTTTATAGTAAAGCTGAATTTCGTTTTGTCGACGTCTGTATAAATAAACCATAACGTATAAACATAATTATGTGTATTTATATGTACGTTACTAAATCTGTATAAACAAATATGATATGAGGTCATATGCGGGAAACCCTACGTAAGCAGACAGTAATGCAGGTTTATAATTTACCACATGTATCTATGCAGAAACTATTGGCCGAAGCAGCAGAGGAGGGGGATGTGGTTGCTCTGGACTTCTACAACGTTCTCTCCACAACCAACTGAGAAGTCTCTATGAACTCTTTGATGCTGAAGCATGTTTTCTTTTTCCAACTGTCTAGAAATTCTTCATTAACGGGAAAATGAAATAGTTTTTCTCTTGAAAAACAATAAACTTTTGTTGTCAAATTTTTGTTAATTTTATATTGTTTGTGTATACTTGACAAAAGTAAAAAAAAAATTAAAAAAAAATCAGTTATTAATTCGTACTGAAATAAGCCATCCTCAATACTATATGGATTAAGCTCACTTACGCTCTCTGCACCCGTAAAATTTCATATGTCAAAACAAAATCAAAGACTCAGTATGCACCACATTGTGGATAGGATGAAGAAGACTAGTTTACACCAAACGAATCCCACGTAAACCTAACAGTAAAATTAACTAGCTTTGAACTCAGGTGTCACGTGCACCCATCTGTAATCTTCAAAGGGCAGATATCAGCCTACCGGTTGGCCAGATCTTTTTACCTGAGACCAATCATCTAATGATGTAGAAAGTGCATATGAGCTTAACTACTAGAGTATACGTATCTGAGTTGGGAATTAGCATGTTGGCCGGCCGATGTCTCTGTTATTGGTAATATGGAATACAGGTATTTTTCCGTAATAACAGTACGAAGCTTTCCTTGATAAATACAGACAGTGCAGCTTAGACAACAACGTTTTATTTCACATAGATACCATCAACAATAACATGTAAGGATGGGACGTAATTGATTGTCAACAAATTACTATGCAGTTTCTTTTAGAATCCTTAACACATTTCTTTATTATTGCCACAAAAAAAGTATTTTTTGCCAGTGCCTTGTAGAAATCCTACAATTGCCATTTAGTATCCATCAGTATGTCGGGCACATACAATGTAAATAATGAAAGATGAAAAATTAAAATAAAAATAAAACATCAAATGCAATTTCCTAGTTTGCGTTTGCGTTTTTTTTTTGTTTTTTTTTCGTTTTTATCTATGATTTTGATACAAATTATTTAAAGTCCAATGAGCTATCTACCATTAAAATAAAATCTTAAGTAAGTTTTTCACATGATATTGGATTCATTAAACAGTAAATTACTCATCATACTTATTGATACACTTTAAGTGTCTCTTAATCGTATATATGTACCAATGGATGACATGTGAATACAACAAAACAAGAAACTCAATCGATGTAATAAATTCATGCAATACACTGATGGCAGACACTTGTAGTTTAAATGTTTCACGTAATTATATAAAAGGTTTTGACCTGTTTCCTAATTATATATATAAGCAACACAACTTTTTAAACGTAAACTCGATCTCGAGAGCGCGCATTTGTAGAAAAGACTTGTTGAAACAGTACACCACGTTCTTGATATTACTGACCTTAATAAACAACAGTCGAAACTACGAAGTATCGTTCAAAGAGCTGCCGTAAAAAACACACAAAGGGCAAAACAACGGCGAAAATTGAGACTAAGCAAATGAAGAAGCGATCTAGAGCTGCAGTGAGGTCAGCCCATGTCAGCATCTCCCTCCTGCCTTGCTCATTGTCATTGCCTGCGTCCAACGGAATTCGGGACACTACTGCATCGCTCTCAAGTTAGTGGAGGAAGAACAGGAGCTGTTATCGGACTTCCCGTTCTTAGATTCAGAGCACTCCTCCATCGTTCACAAGTTAGGGGAGGTGGAACAGGAGCTGTTATCGGACTTCCTGTTCTGAGACTTGGAGCACTCCTCCATCGTTATCAAGTTAGGGGAGGTGGAACAGGAGCTGTTATCGGACTTCCCGTTCTGAGAATCGGAGCACTCCTCCGTCGTTCACAAGTTAGGGGAGGTGGAACAGGAGCTGTTATCGGACTTCCTGTTCTGAGACTTGGAGCACTCCTCCGTCGTTCACAAGTTAGGGGAGGTGGAACAGGAGCTGTTATCGGACTTCCTGTTCTGAGACTTGGAGCACTCCTCCATCGTTCACAAGTTAGGGGAGGTGGAACAGGAGCTGTTATCGGACTTCCTGTTCTGAGACTTGGAGCACTCCTCCATCGTTATCAAGTTAGGGGAGGAGGAACAGGAGCTGTTATCGGACTTCCCGTTCTGAGAATCGGAGCACTCCTCCGTCGTTTACAAATTAAGGGAGGAGGAACAGGAGCTGTTATCGGACTTCCCGTGCTTAGACTCGGAGCACTCCTCCATCGTTCATAAGTTAGGGGATATGGAACAGGAACTGTTATCTGACTTCTCGTTCTTAGACTCTGAGCACTCCTCCATCGTTCACAAGTTAGGGGAGGAGGAACAGGAGCTGTTATCTGACTTCCCGTTCTAAGACTCGGAACACTCCTCCATCGTTCACAAGTTAAGGGAGGAGGAAGAGGAGCTGTTATTTGATTTCTCGTGCTTAGACTCGGAGTACTCCTCCATCGCTATCAAGTTAGGGGAGGAAGGATATGAGCTGTTATCGGACTTTCCGTTCTTACATTCGGAGCACTCTTCCATCGCTATCCAGTTAGTGAAGGTGGAACAGGAGCTGTTATCGGACTTCCCGTTCTTAGACTCGGAGCACTCCTCCATCGCTATCAAGTTAGGGGAGGAGGGATATGAGCTGTTATCGGACTTCCCGTTCTTAGAGGATATTGTCTGAATAACATTTGCCTTGCTTGGTTTCACACGTGTTCTAAAACATAAAGGCATCCTTCTGCTAATCTAGATGATACCCTGTAAGCTCGGAGGAAGGGCGTCATCATTTGGACGATAGTGAAGTCGAACCAGGACAGCGGTAACCATAACGATGAGTGTCCCCTTGATCAGAATGCCGATCAGATACACTTCCAGGTAGCATGTGGTCCGGGAGTTGACGGGTAGGAAAGAACCAAAAATGGTCATTAAAACAGCAAACGCCAGATAGACCGTCATGTTGTATCCCATTTTCTCTCCACTGACGACGGGGATGACGAATGTAAAGTTGGATAGAAAAGAGAGTAAGATGACTGGGCAGATAAGGGTAAATAAGTAATACTCCGGTCGTCGGTGCAGTGTCGAAGAGACAACGACGTTGCCTTAAGTCAGTTCAATCCTGGATGAGCGGAGGTCCCACACCCCAATTGGTTCGTATGACTTCGTATACAGCGCCGAATCCTTCAACGAATTTCACGTCTTCTGCTCCGATGCCCAAATCCTGAATATCAGCTTACAAGTTTTTTGATCAAACGGACATTTTGTTACATCCATGTCGCAGTTAGTTTCAAATACTTCCAACGGTTTCCACAGAATTCGTTGAGAAGAGTATGTGTTCACCAGAATCACTTTATCGCCAAGCTCCTTCAGTTTTGTGAAACCGTTATGTAGGCATGTATGTATAGGAGATTTTACTAGATTGTTTTTCGTTCCATGTTAGGAACGTGTCATTCCACTGTACATGTAGCGTCATATGTGCCGTGATACATGTAGCTAGTCTCTCCTCTACCTCGTCCAAATAGATCAGTCCACGTAGATGGAACTCGAGAGATATAAATATCGCCTTATTTATGCGAGTACGTGGTATAATTACCTTCTGGTAGGAACGCTTATTAAATAACTCATCGTGCAAAAAATTTCCCCTTTCTGGGCGAGCGTGACTTGTCCACAGACAGCAGTGTCAGTATAATGTGTAATGCCCGTGTTCTGGTCTTCGTTGCAATAATACAAAAATCATTAGAGATAGCTATTTATTACTAAACAAAATACAGATCTTTACATTAGTTAAGGTTTCTCGTTATAAATACGTTGTCTTGGCGTTATATTTCCATTTAATATTCAACGCTCTTGTGAAATCGAATGTAAGATTAGTACAAATGGCTGTTAGTTTGGTACATAGTAAAAAAGGTCTATGCGTCTTTCAATATAAGAAACGTCGGACAATTTCGCTTAGTGTTTGTTATAATCTTTTTTTTATGATACCATTGTTCGTACTACTGGCTAGAAATTTCACTACATACGAAAATCTCCATTGCCTAAATTTTCCGTGAAAGTCTCGCTTTTGCTAATAAGGCGTTGAGCAAGTTGACACATATTGAATGAAATAAAATGACCAATTGTTTGAAGAGTCAAGTATCAATAATGTAGTGTGATACATGTATGAAAAAAATAATCATTTAAAAGCGAATCCATCGTACCGAGTATCGGTATGAAGTTAATCAGAAAATGTGTACTTTGGTGATTGCGATCTCGTCACTGACTCGGGAGACTATCGCTATTAAAAGTGTTTGCATTTTTTACAGATGAGTTGTTTACATTATCTTGGCTGCTACTGTTCCGAGGACGGCAAACCCCCAAGCAAACAAAGTACTGATAAAAAAAATCCATCAAAAGTAATAACCAAATGACATCTAGTGACTGGCGCGTTGGTCAGATCATTTCATTTCCTTGCACTTTTCTCACTACAGATCTATGCTAAGAATATATACCTACTACCATTAAATATATTAGAGTTGTAATGACAGTTTTCATTAGTCAAGTACTATGACATCCTTGATATCCAGGTGTTACGCTCACTTTCGCTCTCTACATCCACGGAATATGTCATAGCAAAAATGAAGGCTCGGTGTGCGCCACCTTGTTGATGAGACAAGAAGACAAATTCGATCCTTTGATGTACATCAAAATAATTTCGCGGTAAACATTGACAGGGCTTTGAAGTCGGGCGTCTCTCCTTTGTAATCTTCAAAGACAGGTATCGGCCTAGCGATTGGTCAGTTGTTTTACCTGAAACCAATCAAACAGCTATCTTCGTGCCTCCAATTTTGCTTTGACATATTCCAGGGGTGTAGAGAGCGAAAGTGAGCGTAACACCTGGGTATCGAGGGTGGTACTATGGCAAATCATGTGAAAATACAAAATGTAAGGCATGGTTGCAATAATAACATAATGATCATAAATGCGAAGGTGTTTTTGGAAACTAAGTAAACATTGACGTTAATACTTGTACGGTGCACATGTTTGTTAATATGCTGTGAAGCATTTTATCTGATGTCTATTGCTGATTAAGTTGATTGTCATCGACATAATATACATGAAGACATCCAGCTCCATGATGCAGTGTAATGCATTTTGAGGCCTACTGGATCTATTACCAATTGTAAAGTCGCAATTACTTGTGTGTGTATCGCGTTCATGTACCCTGATGATTCGTGTTTTTTACCATTTAAATTTCTTTTTATTACTTATTGTATGTGTTTACACTCCTTAAATTAACTAAAACGTGTAAAAGTCCAATTCATTTTCTCCGAAGGCAAATCAAATTGGGTAAATACGATGAACCATGAGAAAGTTAGTCTTGTTTATTTTACGAAAAAAGTATAAAGTAAAACTCTTCTATTAGCAGGAGCGATGGAACAGTGACAATTATTTTTTACACGAAGTAAAATATAGATATCCAACTGGTAAATTTATAAAAGTGGAATGTATCACTCTTATTTCACGTTTTATCCGTGGCATATCTGTATACACATTAGGGAAGAATACATCGATTATCTCCCTTGATGCAATGCTCTTAATTCAGTTCAAGCTACTTTCGACTAACAACGAAAACGGTCGATGGAACAACAGTTAAGAATAATCGGTAAGAGGTATATATTTTATGATATTCTTGACGAAATGGATTAGAATTATTAATTTTAAAAAAGATGTAAAAACACTACGGTGGAAAGTATCACTCCTATAATAAAATTTGATAATGCGTAAAAAGAAGCTTTAAATTTGCTTTCTTAAGCACGATTTTATGTAGAACATTAAAGAAAAAAAATGGTTTAAGTACATGGAACGAATTATTTTTCTGCATTTATATATATGTATATATAAAATCGAGTTACAGATTTTTTGCTGGACGAAAAATCTTACATATTTCAACATGTCTGTTTTATATTCTTGATACGCTGAATTTATGCAAGGGAAACATGCTATAAAGAAATATATAAATCTCGTGAACTTTTCAGAATTAGAGCAATTAATTGCACCAGACAGACATGAATCGGCTGCGTAAGGGATATCGATGTACATCAGATCTTGCCTGCAACCCCGTTCTCTCCAGCAGCCGTGACAAGTCATTCGACTCAATGGTAGTGAATTATATTTCCTTTTCATATTACGTAAAAAAATATTAATTGAATACCGGTAAACACGATACATGTATCTCCTGAATGGTTTCATTACATTTTTTTTTCTTGATATTTATTGTAATGAACAGGCAAGCTGAGTTAAATGTTGATACATTTTATGGAATTCTCAAGAATAGCCTCCATATCCAAGGACATGATTCAGCTATTGTTCATGTAGATGCGAAGCACAAACTGTCATATATAGTGTAAGCTTCCAGGGATAGATGACTTAGTACTTTAAAAAGAGGAAATTTACACAGTGTAAAAAAGGGCTTGCGTTTTTCGCGTTGTATATATAAGCGCGAAAATATCCATTCGCAAGTATTTATAGCTTATACAGAATATATAGATTTTAAAACATGGACCCCCCTAGAAAAGTGATATCACACCCCCTCCCAAATTTCCGGATTTTGCCGCTTCCGATTATTGCTGTCTTCTTTTAATGTAAACAAACGAATTGTTGGCATGGAGTAACTGCGGTATCATGGAAAATAATTTAAAGAATGATTAACAAAGCCCCACCCAAATCTCCGGATGTCGCCGCTTTTTTAATCTTGACGTTTTTTAATCTCGCTTCCAGATTTGGTTTTGCTTATTAGTGTTACACCTGTCGTCTGCATAAACAACGATGGCGACTGGCGATGATCGATTCAGACAGTGCTTAAATTGAATTCCAACCAGATACATTGTGTTCCATGGAAAAAACATATGATAAAAAGTTTATGATGTGACCATTTTGATATCACGCCCCCAAACAGCCCTCGAGTCCTGATATCAGCCCTCGGGCCTACAGCCCTCTGGCTGATATGGGGTGTGCTATCAAAATGGTCATATAGTAATCTCTAATTACAGTATACAATATAGCAGTTTAGCTTGCATACTATCTATTTCAGAATATTTCATTTAGATATTGAATACACGAAGAATTGTACAACAAGCAAAGCGTACGAAAGTCACCTCTTTGCAATGATAATTGAAAAGTCTCAAAACACAAATTCAAGATGGATTTCAATATGTACTTTTATTAAGGCCAAACAACCTAGAAGGTCGCTTGCAACATTGAAAAGTACATGACTTTACATCTCCTTTTTCCCAATAAAACGAGAATGATCATTACCTTGAAAACACATCAATTTATGATCAATATAACTTTTTTCATTCAAGTTCTTTTGAATATTATCTAATTGAACTAATATATGTCCCGTTATAGTAGAACTTTAAGCATAAACTTTACTATGTGATAGCCGATGACTTGTATCATCATAAAAGTTAAACTACTGCTAAGCTATAATACCTAAACTTAAACATGCAATAATGAAGACACAATTTAAACAATGCATTTAATAACATACCTAACCAGTCCTATATACAGTTCTACTCAAGCCACAACTAACCAGTCCTACAGAAAAGGCCTATCACTGCGCAAACTCATTCAGATACGACGGTTTGTAATTGATTCTACCAGAGCGCGTTATTGTTCTGTCAGCCAGATTTGAAGTTTCACATAGTAATGGTATATCTACCATGTCATCGACATCATCTGTCGGATTGAAACAATGTTCTCACGTTTTCAGAAAGGTTCTGCGGTTTCTGCGGTAACACTTTCCACTCTGTGTTTGAACGACATACGATTGCGGAGCATGTGCTTCACTTTGAACAATACCTGGTTCCCATTCTTTGCTTTGCGAATTATGGACAGGAACTATCTCTACAGTGTTTATGTGGGGTGACTTACACTTTGTCGGCCATGATAAAGCTTTTGACGGTTTTAAATATTCAGCTGAATAATTTATAAATCAAGTTTCTGTGGAGAAACTATTCCTGGTGCTAATAACGCAGTAGCGACTGGAAGTTTTGTTTGACTTGTCTGTTCATAAGTATTTTAGCTGGGAATACCTCCACACCATCTAACGGAGATGCAAGATACTCAATTAGCAAAAAATAACACATTTAAATTGTCTCCATGACTTTCCTCTGCCTTCTTCAACAGATTTTCGATGGTTTGAACACTGTGTTCAGCTTGCCCATTCGATTTCAGATATCTTGGGCTTGATGTTGTGTGAACAAATCCCATGCGATTGCAAATTGTGGTCCATTGTCAGTGACCACCTCCTTTGTGATTCCATGTCTCGCGAAGATAGATTTCAACGCGATGACGGTGGTTTTGCTCGACATGTCTTGAAACAACACAATTTCCGGATACTTGGAGTAATAGTCAACGCAAACTAAATACTCCTTGCCTTTGTGCTCGAACAAATCCGCACCATAAGCCATGGTCGAGATGGTACATCATGCAATAAGAGCAGTTGTTTGTCCAATGTCACAGTTCATCCGGGGCCAAAACATACTTTGTTGCGCCCGCTGTTTTGTCTTGACAACTTCCAAAATAGCTTCGTGCAACCTTTGTCAACATCTCTTTACGAAGTGATTGTTGAACGATCAGAAACGTGAACAGTGATTAATAACTCGCAATTCCCCAAAAGATGGAGCATAAAAACAGCCAACGAGCAAGATACTGATCAAATAACAAGATGGACAGTAATAACAATCGACTAAAGCAAAAGACAAAATTTATATATACATATATATAACAAAACTAATAATAATAGATCGAAATTAAGTCAGACTTATGCTGGATAGTAGACAACCTAGCCCTACTGCCTATAATCCTAATTTCTGTTCATGTAGGAATGGGGATGAAGGTTTTCCTATAGTACCTGGTGATACAGCTCTGACTAATTTCTGTTTATGTAGGAATGGGATGAAGGTTCTCCTATAGTACCTAGTGATACAGCTCTGACTAATTTCTTTTTATGTAGGAATGGCGATGAAGGTTTTCCTATAGTCCCTGGTGATACAGCTCTGACCAATTTCTGTTTATGTAGAAATGGGGATGAAGGTTTTCCTATAGTGCCTGGTGATACAGCTCTGACCAATTTCTGTTTATGTAGGAATGGCGATGAAGGTTTTCCTATAGGACCTGGTGATACAGTTCTGACCAACTGGAAGTGTTGTCTCACCACTTACCGAGCCAATTAAATTAACACAAAGTTAAAGAAAACTATTTATTCTAAATCAAAACCCAGATTAGGTAACACAAACAATACCGCTTTATGTGTCATTGTAAATACGTACATGATGCAACGATAAAACACCCCTTATTGATAAAGATGGTGTGCACATCTAATAAATATCACAATGAAAAAAATAGGGCCTGGTTGGATGGTGGGCAAGTCCTGATCGAAAATGTGCGGGCGGATTGTTTTGATAAAATTTATAGAAGAACCACCTAATACCACGCAGAATCGGTGATTGGCTAATCCCGACAACTAAGGAAACCTAACCATACGTTTTGGCGCGTAATTTTGAAAACCCCAAACATATACATAGGCTTGTTAGTTGCAACCATATAAATGTATTTAAATGACTTTAACACTGATCGAATGTTTTAAAATTGCTCAGCGGTACCTTTTTATCCTCGATACCAGGTGCCTGTTTCTCGACCAAACACCTGTAAACCAGTCACTGACGTTCTAGGCAACTATTAATGATTATAAACACCACAAGTCACATTACTAGTTGTCTGTTCAAAACTGTGAAGCGTTTACGTTGTCTAGAGGGCTGCCGTAAAAAACACAACGGTCAAAACTACGGCGACAGTGAAGAAGAAGCAAAATAAGAAGCTGTCTAGAGCCGTAGAGAAGTCGGCCCATGTAAACATCTCATCTACGTTGTCTTCGTACTCACTGCTTGCGTCCGACGACAATCTGGTGTCTGGGCACTCCTTCACTGCTATGACGTTTCGGTAGAAAGGGACGCTGTTATCCGACTTATCATTTTTTGATGATGTTTTCTTGGTTACATCAATCCTGTTTGGTTTCACTCGTCTTCCAGAACAGATATACATTCCTCTACTGATATTAATGACACGCCGCAAGCTCGGAGGTAGGTCGACATTACTTTGACGGTGATGAAGTCGAACCTGAGCAGCAGTGACAATAACGATAGACGTTCCCTTCTCTAGTAGGCCGATCAGATACACGGCCATGTAGGACATGGCCCGGGAGTTGACCGGTAGAGAAGAACTGACGATCGTAAGAAAAACAGCAAACGCCAGATAGACAGTCATGCTGTACCCCATTTTCTCTCCACTGTCGACGGGAATGACGAATGTAAAGATGGAAAGAAAAGACAGTAAGAGTATGGGGCAGATGAGAGTCAGTAAGTAATGTTCCGGCCGTCGGTCAAGTTCAAGAGAAACGATGGCATTGCCTCGATCCAGCTCAATCTTGGATGAGCGGAGATCCCACACTCCATTAGGTTCGAATGATACCATATTGAGTACCGAGTCCCTTAACCCAAATTTAACGTCTTCTGCTCCTGATGTCCACATTCTTAATACCAGCTTGCACTTTTGACAGTCGAATGGGAATCGTTTTATGGCGATGTCACACTTGGTCTCGAATACTTCGAACGGATTCCATTCCATTCGACCATCATAATATACCTTCACCAGAATAACGTCATCGCCAAGCTCTTTTAGTTTGGTGAAGCCATTGTATAATGAGACGTCCGGTCTCCAATCTTCGGACTGAGGCATGTAGAAATAAGAGATGTTACTGAAATCCCTTCTATCCCATGTCAGGAATGTATCATTCCATCCTAGCTCCAGATGTGCCGTGGTGACGAGTTTCCCTTCAACCTCGTCCAGATAGTTGATTCCGTGTAAATAGAACGCTACAGATATAATTATCGGCTTATTCACGTCAGCACGGGGTATAATGAACTTCGGGTACGAACGCTTGTTAAATAACTCATCGTGTAAATCTTTGAGGTCAGCCCCGTTCTTGGCCTGAGCGACCGGTATCACAGACACCAGTGCCAAAATAATATGTACTGCCCATTGGACTGCCATCGTTGTAATGCTGTCTATTGTCACAGACGTGCGTACTTAGGTTCGTTATAACAGGTTTCATTAGAGATTGGTTTTAAATTAAAATTATGTTTGCTTCAGGCTATTGATTCGTGTTCATTGTTTTGTCGTATGCATCATATATCAATTTCACATCCAATTACTTCTACGTTACCGATGACTTTGAACGTTGTTTTGCTCTGTTGACACGTTGAACCCAATGGTGTGTGTTTCGTTTTGTCTTTAGATAATATCCTTTGTACTTTTTCTGTAATCAAAAATTAAGATGTCATCTATAACAATTTGGACAATTTGCTTGGAAATTTTAAATCGAAGGAAACTATCGCAGATTATTTGTTTAAAGATTAATTGGGATACATCGCTTTAACAATTCGCTAGAAATTTATTTACGAAAGAAAATGAAATTGTTAAGCTGTATGTGAAAGTTTGTTCTGGTGACGAGATGTGCAAAAAACTTGACCCATATATATTCACCTTAAGTAGAAAGTACTTATTTTGATTATTTCAGTATTCATTCTACTACCATCTATAATGTTAAGTGATCTGTGTATGTAAAATGCCATTGATTACAAATTCTTTATTTTGCGTGGTGCTGTATACAAATGTTGTAATTAAAAAGTCATTTTTAGAGAGTTTCACACTATTGCAATGACCTAGGGGACTACTTATCATTAACGAAAATTGGTTGTCTCTTTCATGTACCTGATAATTTTTGTCAATGTCTATATACTTCTACTGATGAGAAATCTTATGATAAACAACACCAAAATGACATCATCTGATGATATGACCGCTTGTAAATCCATTTCTGTCCCGTGCTCATTTCTCATAGTAGATGTAGAAATCGTTTTGTTTTTTTAATAGTGGCACGGTTCAGAATATGTACATTTTACTCATTATTAATTTGAAATTAAGCAACTAAGGGTTTTAAAATATTGATTCCACGAAATATAATCCGAACGAATTTGTCCCCATACAAAAACAACGAAATTTAACCCCAACGAGAATATATGCTTTTGCAGTAATCTCAAAGTTAGAAATTTGTATAATTACGTATCATATCGCATGTAACATGTGAACCATATTTTGTTTTTTATTACTGAGTAAATGAATTGTACTGATGATGAAGTGAGTATTGAATTGTAATTATGAAAATACTGAAGGAAAGTTGATGGTATCTTTTATTTTTTTAAGTTTTGGAGGATTATTGAGATGCTATAAAAACCATATTCAAGGACAACATTTTGTCAATGTAGTTGAATGTTAAATTAAAGTACATGAACCTTATTGATTTTACATCAATTCAGTTTCGTATTGGAAGACGTACGTTATAACTTGTCCGGATAGTTTGTTATATTTAATGCAAAAGAACTTTATACATTTTGGACCCTTGTTAGTTTGGACACTTTGGTTTGTGTGTACAGTAGAACCATGTAACCTCCCACATCATTTGCCTTATACGATAACCTGAACCAGGATACGACAGGGCTATTCTTTGCTTGTACCTGCATGGATTTAGGGATAGGAAAACTACCAAAGAATACAAACCAGATTGAATAGATGTATGTGTGATATAAAAAGTATGAAAATGTGCAGAAATATTGACAGAAACAGCATAAGTAAGCGATTTATAATAATGATAATAATTAATGACGATTCGAGGTTATCATATACCGCTTTATCACAACCTAGTTCGTAGGTCGTCTCAAAGCGGTTCACAAATTATTATCCGTGGTTACAGGGTCTTTGCAACAAGCCAATATCTTTCTCAACTCCCAGCATACAGCCTGTGCTGCCATTTCGGCGCGCTCACAGCTAGCATTCAACAATTCTAGCATTGCCAAACCACATACTCATTTACAGCTGAGTAGACTGGAACCAGTGGAGTAAAGTATCTTGCTCAAAGATACAACACAAACCAAACTTAGGTTCAACCATTTTCTCTTCAGCGATGTCTCGATAGGCTCCATAATGGGGAACCCCCTTCATTATTCATTATCCCGCATTCTGATTTGGCGGTGACAGCACTGGCTTTTCAATTGTCCTGTCATTTGGCATTTGGACAACATATTGCTTACCTGCTTAGATTGCAACCTTTCTAAATCTAATGGTAATTTAATTAATTTCAATATGAGTATTAATAGCTATTGTTAGGGGGAATATTCTGTTCCCAGTTTCTTCCTCAAATTTTAGTTGTCGTGTGATTGAAGTCATTGGCTTTCAAATGCCATACATAACAATATATTATCATTACAGATCGGGAGTAAAACCACATATTGAACCTTATATTATTTGAGTTTGTCTTCTATTCGATAATAAAACTTATTTCATATAATGATTTATGATATTTATGGATTTTACCACTACAATTTTAACCACTGATTTTCCGACACATTGTGACACGGTAAGTTTAATTCATGTAATGATATCAAGAGTCAAAATAAAAGTAGGAAAGAATCTGAAGTAATGGTAAGGCAAGTTGTTTTGACGAAAATACTACTGTTCTGTAAAAATTGTAGAAAATATGTTTGAGTCATTGTGAGAAAAAAAATCATATATAAATAGTATAAATTGCGTACATATAAATAGTATATGTTGTGCATATATAGGCAAATAAGTAAAAATAGGAATTTGTCAAATTTGCAAGGCAATCCGCGCATTTTTCAAGATAGAAACATGAACACTATAATAGTATATTTATATTTGCATGGCATTGTCACTATATAGCCTCTTTGAAAGCTGTGTCGTTGATGGGACTTTAATTACCACGCATCACGAGACACAATTCTTAGCGTATTAATACAACACTGACCGGAACTACAATATCCAATATAAAAAAAAAAAAACATGACGGCTGCTGAAATATCGCTGGGCATTGTGAGATTTGACAATGCCATTGTAAATTTATGTGCAAAATAAAAAATAAAATATAAAACACTTTCATTACAGCGAAAACAAGACCTTTAGTCTGCCATATCGTACAAAATGCACATCGGTTGAAATCACCAATGCCGGCAATGGAAACAATTTTAACGCTCATGCAATTTATCAGAAATATCGTCTGTTACACTGCACTGATCAACAGGGGTTCGTTACAAATGTCTGAAATACACATATTATATAGACCTACTGACACATATGTTACAGACCTACTGATATGAGTCACAGCACACATAAACATTTCAGACATTTGTAACGAACCTGTGCTCCGTCGCAAGATCACTCACTTCAAACGCTATCAGTTTCACGCGTCTCGCATCCACCATTCCTCAGTTTCTGACGACATGTCAAATAACGAGGCTGTTATAGAATCTACCGACTGTTGTCAGGTTCCCATACAATCAACAAATACATTCACGCCTGGATTCTTCACAAAATGAGCAAAGAGAAAAGTTCGAATTAACTTCCAAAAATAACTCCCTCGTGGAGGGCAAGGTCGGATTTACGGTGTTCACTGTATTTGTCCATGCGCGAAATTTGTTCCGGGGAAAATTCGAAACAATTTCAAATATAACTTTCAGCTCAGAGTTCTATTGATAAACTTAAATCACCCTATAGACATATCATAAGCAATTGTATTGATACTGAATTGTGAAATAAAATTGAAGTGTTTGTTAAAATTTCAAAGTACTACTTTGTTTGCCAATCAGCACGCGACAATACGCTGTTCAAACTATTGAACAAAATTGTGTGGACTGTCGATAAGGCGGGCATTTTTAATTTTAAATATAAATTATAAGTTAAAAAAGAACATAAGAGGCAGAAAAAACGTTAATATAAGTTTTGTATGGTATTTATGATCTATTTGAATGACACAGCTTTGCAAGCAAACAACATAATGCGCACTATCAAATAGATCATCAATACCATACAAAAACAGTTCAATGCTTAAATATATACACTAAGAGTTTTACTAAGAAACTCTCAGTGTTTTTTCTTATATATATATAGTAGAAAATAAAGAATCAAGTTCTTTCGAAGGAAAATATAAAATAAGTGCACAAGCTATACATATTTGTATTCAAATTACAACTATATAACAGACGTACTAGAAAGACTAATCTTACTATTAAAATAGAATCTTAAAAGAACATAACATTGTATTGGAATTTCGGGTTTGTAGCTTTACCGTGATTCTTAAAATATTGTTTATTACTCGTTAAACCATACATGCCATTTGGAGTTTCCAATAATCGTATATTTTTATCAAACAATCTATGTGAACATAACAGAACGAGTCACACACGTAACGCAATAATAATGCACCCAGAAGATATAACTGTATTTAACATGCTACACACAAGTCATTTTACAAGTTTAAGACTTGACCTAAGCAACACTGAATGGTTCGGGTGTGCATATTTCAGATGCCTGCATCTTGTGAACACTTGTGACAAAACACTTGTGAACCAGTACATCACGTTCTTTCACCGTTTTTACAAACAGCACATCTCTCAATGCCAATAACTCATCAACACTGTGAAGCAGTAATAACAAAGCTGCCGCCGTGAAAAAAAGATGGCCAAAAATACGGCGACGGCGTTAAAGAAGCAGAAGATTGAACAGATTTTATTTAAATACCTATACAATTATCTTATATCAAATAACATTTTATCGAACAATCAGTCCGACTTTGGACCAGGTGACTTCACTGTAAACCAACTATTATCTATTTATCATGAAATATCAAAAAAAATAGAGTCAGGTACAGAAGTCGGGTTTGTATTTTGTGATATAAGCAAGGCCTTTGATAGGGTTTGGCATACAGGTCTTGTTAAAAAAATAAGTAATTATGGAATCAAATGTAAATTATTATCTTGGATCCATAATTACCTTTCTGATAGGAATCAACGAGTAAGTACTGAAGGTTTTTATTCCCCATACTTAACTGTTAATGCAGGGGTCAGTTCTGGGTCCGTTATTATTTGTATGATATATAAATGACATTACTGATCTTGTTTCAAGTAAAGTAAAACTCTTTG